CCGAAACAGCGAGTGAAAATCCACTCGAGAAGACTTGCAAACGCACATTTTGCAAAGCTCCTTTGCTTGTAAAAACGTGCGATGCATTGTGGCAACGGGAGGCGAAATGGAGAAGCATCATGCGTCGTTGTGAAGCTCGTGAGAAGCAGAGCGCTCAAGCTATGCTGCTGCGTGAACAGGCCATGGAAGAGGAGGAGGCAGACAACGATCAGATGCAGGCTTTGACGCTGTCAACAGCTACTGCTCGACTGGATATGGCGTTCCGGAACGATGCGAATGACAATGAAGAGGAGGATAGCAATGGAGATAACGACTATGACGGTGGATTTGATGGCGATTGGGACCAAGGTGATTTTGATGACCCTATGAGCTCCTATGAGGCTGTGGATACTTCCGGTGGGCCGCTAACGTACGAGGAAATCTGCAGACAACACTTGGCGTCCTTCATGTCGGGCACCGAGAAGTATGTGCGTGAGACAGACCTTAGTAAAAAGGTCAGTGATTGGCAGGATAAGCTGTCGCCGCTGTTGAAGCAACAGGATACTCGCCCTCCGTTTGATATTCACCAGTATGGCCGAGAAATTATCGGTCGTCTGGAAGAAGAACAGAAGAATTCCAGTCTTGAAAAGCACACAAAAACTACGAAAAAGGCCCAAAACAAACGCGCGAGACTGGCAACAGAAGAAGAAGAGACTGAAACTGTGCCATTCGAGACACTGGTGGATGGCAAAAGTCAATTTGAAGTGTGTCGACTCTTTTTGGCGTCGTTGCAACTGGCGAATAGTGGAAATGTGGCGCTTTCTCATGCTCGTACGGCGGCAGAACACGGACAAGTGCCCTTCGAGATGCAACTGCTTAGCACCGCCAACGTTTTCGAAGCACTGCAAGCGTAATATATATATCAAATGCATACAAAAGTTTTTTTGGTGTCAAAATAGTTGAAATTATTGCCTCCTTTTCATAATGCTAAGTTTTTATTATAAATATTTGCTCACGCGGTTAGTGGCGCGAAAACACCTTCGGTAAGACTGAAGTGGTCTCGAAGAATTGGTAGAGCGTTCTCCCATTCGTCCTCCTTGATCAGCATGAAGTCCTAGAAAACACAACGGCATGTTAACGTTTTTTTTTTTTTCATAATGTAATGTATCGCACCAGCATTATTTACCATGGCATAGGTGCTAAGATAAAATACCGTTGTGCCGGCATTTACCAATACGCGGGTCTGGCCCGCTACAATTCCCGTCTCGGCGAATCCCAACTTCGTGTTGCCGATCTGCACAGGCCGCCAAAAATCCGGTGACACCAGCACGCCTTGATCTCCCTGTTCCATCAGCGCTCGAGCCTTCTCAAGGAAATATTCGTCGCTGGTTACCACGGAAATTTCATCCCCTGTCTCCGAGTAGCTTAAAAATCTCGTCGCAGTGTCCTCCGATTTAAACAGCAACTCCACGAGCGAGTACATGTGTCTCCTCACGAACGTTCTGTTGAGTTGCACAAGATGCAACTTCACATCCGGGACACTAAGTGGGTGGTGATGCATTGTCGGCAACTCTTCCACCTCTATGATTTCATCTTGAGAATTTCCGTGCTCTGTCACTTTTAGCTCTTGCCCGTCCTCCATCTCAATGGAACAGAAGCTTTGCAAGCATTTAAAGGCCTTGGCCAAGTCTGCCACATTCACTAACACTGCAAAAAAAAAAATGTCAGTTTATAAAAATTTGCATCGATTGCCATTTGACCACAGAGAGGCACCATAGTCCGACTGGTACGTCGAAATCTGGAAGACACTGATACCGTGCTTGGCCAGCTCCGTCGTGAGCTGTGTGAGCACTGCTAATTGACTCAGGAAGGCTCCGGGGCCGGCTGATGCCACCTGTAGCGCCTTCCAGCGTAGAGGCTCGAATTCCAGCGCCCCCTCAGGGAATTTGGACAAAAGCTGCTCCTCGAACACCAACGAGACTTCGTGCTGCGTCTCTACGTAGCTCAGGAACCGGAGCTGGTGGCTGGAATCGAGAGATGGCGTGTAGAAGAGGAGTTCCAGCAGGGACGGCACCAAAGTTAAGGAGTGTAGGTCGCTGCATTTTGAAAGTGCATCCCGAGTGACGGTCTTTTCCGTACTCGAGATCACCAGCGTCGTCGACAAACACACCAACTGCACTTGCGCCGCCATTTGGGTTTTCAATGCGCAACGGATACCTTTTTCTGAGATCATCCCTCCGACTTGAAGTGGATTTTACAGATGCAAGAGGAGAATTATGTGAAAAAATAGAACCTTC